ATTTGAACGAATTACAAAGACAAATTGCATTAGAGGAACAAGATGCGTGGGATTACCTCGAAGCATTTGCTGTTCTTGAACACTTAACATCACTACAAGATGAAAGAGAACAAATTCAACAAATTAATGCTATTGAAAACTTGGCAGCAGAGAAACTACAACAACGATACAATGCCGAACAGATTCAACTACAGCAATGGGAACAAAATAACTGCGAACCATATGCTATCGGCCAACAATAACAGTTAATACATGACCAAATAGAAGAATTACAGCCTATTGTAACATATCATGAAGTATAAAACACAAAGCAACCAACGCGAAACAATAACAAGCTAAAACCCTTAAATGACATGCAACATATTAAACGTCTACTTCAACTATTAAACCAAACAAACATTTATCTTCACTAACGCATCATAAATCATTCAACCCCCACGCTTCAATAAACACATACACAACAAATATATGAATACATTTCATTGTTCTATTTCCCTTTCCATATATCTTCAATCGAAATTTTACTATTTTCTTTCCGATAATTCACATTCATACTCATCAAAACAGAAACAATCGTTTGTCGTGGAACGGCCTTATTTCTACTCATCCTGTAATGATAGAAATCTTTGCTTATATTTTAATTTTCTTTAATTAGATATGGACATGTATAGTCGATCATTGACTATAGGCTCATTGTTCATTCTATTGAAAATTATTTTGTGCAGTAGTAATATTAATTATTGTATCGTATATAATAATTCTAATGTCTTATCCTTGAATTATTATTGATATAATATTGATTAAACCACCTGATGAGTCCTGGCAAAACAGAAACAATCGTTTGTCGTGGAACGGCCTTATTTCTACTCACCCTCTATAATTGATTTTGAAGATTAGTCTGATTAAATGAAGAATAATTGATTGAAAATCTTTGGTCAAATTAGATATAATTAAGATCATAATCGATTTCGAAAATTATAATTGATTTCGAAGTTTAATCTATTTATTAAGCTAATAATCGTTACAAAATGATTATTGTGTCAAGCAATTATTGGGTTAAAATTAATTTAATCAGATTATTTTCAGAAAAAATAATTTTCGAGAAAAAAATCCGATTATCTTGTCAAAAATCAACAATAATCATGATTTTTCAAAAATAATTTTCACAGGGTATGCATGCTTCATCCAATTACCCAGTCGAGTTTTTTTATTTGATCATTTGCATTTTTTCGATTTTGTTTTGCTCTGAGTATATGAAAATTTTGCAATGAATTTCATACAGTTGAAACGGACTGTATCTTCTCTTTCGAACTGTGTTCTGTTTGCTATTTTTTAGAAAGAAAGAGAAAAAAGTAGTGAATAATGTATTCGAACGTGTGGATTCCCTTTCATTAAAAACTCAAAGATAAATATTCTCTCTTGCTTGTTCGAAAGACAAGCAAGTTCATTTGTAAAGCTCGCAAAATGCATACGAAAAATACATCCCATGTGAATTTTTTTTGACCGATTCAAATCAAACAGAACCGTTCGGGAGAGAGGAGAAAAAAAATGTCTCCGTCTGAAAGAAGAAATCACTAGGATACACTGTTACTTTTTGGATCACTCGCTTCCATAGGAACAAAAAAAAACATCGAGCGACTGCTCTCTCCATACAATACTATAAATTCAGACGACAACCGTGCTCAGTTTCATAATTTCTTCGCTCCGACAATTTGATTTTTTTCTCTTAATCGCATTCGAACGAATAACCAAGCAACAATGAACGGGCTTCTTATCACCGTTGTCACTCTTCTTGGTAAGCAAACTTTAAACAGTGCTCTATCCACTTCTCATTGATCGTTTCCTTAGCGTTGGCTTCCGGCACTTTGGGCATCAGGAGCGCTGTTCAAATATGAAGCGCAGACAGGAATTGCAAGGAGTGAGTAAACCAATTCTTATGGATCATAATAGCTGAACAGAGATATTGTTACTACGGAACATCCACAATCATCAGCTCACTCAGCACATCAACAACCTGTGATGTTTGCTATGTGAGTAATCTTTAATTAATCTGAAACTTAATGTATGATATTCTTTCTCTTATGTTAGTCGTATAGTCTTCTTGGTGTCACGACTAAAGTTTGTGGAGGCACGGGATCAGGATCCATTTCCTGATCGACTTCGAACAGCTACTCGAGTTATTCCAGCTATTATTGTTGCTCAACCAGTTATTGTAATGGAGCAAAGATGAATGGAGCTAATATTTTAATGGCCACCGCTGCAGCCATGATCGCTCTCTTTCGAGCTATGTGATTGATCAAAATGATGCACCGCTATATTCATATTGTACCGTATGATTAATATTTTTTATTTGCAAAGACGACTGAAGAAGAGAAAGAAACAGATTAAATTATTGCCTTTAGTTAAGGTATGAGGAGAAAAAATATAGATGATAATCACAGCGCGTTAACTTATTTTTTTTCTCTTATAATAACCAAGATAGATATATATGCGCACTAATAACAAGTAACGCTCGTCTAAAGACTCGCTCAGCTCTTTCTCGTAGAAATCATGCGTCTAAACTATCATCAAATTACTTCTTTATAAAATTTTAAAAAATGAGGCCAGATCCAAGTTCTCAGACCTCAATTGCTTCGGCCAACCCTTTAAAAAAAATTCTTTTTTTGTAAGAAAGTGGTCCTTTGTTCTAAAAAATTAATCTGTAAAAAAATTTCAAAAAAATTGATCTCAGGTTTGAATTCCTCGACCTGATTACCCTTTGGTCAACCCTTATATTTTTTGACCCTCTGCGGAAATACAAACAAGCAGATAACTTATGTCTGTAAGACTGTTCTCAAATCCTATTGGTTAAAGCCGCAATGTCAAAAGGTTTTTTTGGTCGAAATCCCGACCAAAAGTAACCTCCGATTACCTTTCGGTCAACACTTATGTTCTTTTGGCTCTGCGGACAGACAAGCAAGCAATCAGACAATTTATGTTTCTAAGACTCTTCTCTACGAGAAAGAGAATTATGCAGAGTATTAGACAGCTTTTTATTCATCTGAATAGCAACGCGTTGTTTTCTCTCTTCCCTATTATATTTTTATTTGCATTCATATCCAAAGATGGAACGAGAAGAAAAGAAATGTTGTATCAAACACTGATTTCGAGACAAAGATACAGCTTAGAGTTGTTACGCATGAATGCGATCTTTCTGATTAATAATGGTGATAGACATAAACTAAAATTTCCTTCGTATCTATTACTTTGGATTGGTATTTATGTACACAATAGATTTCATCCTTTATTCAAAAAACAAACAAGTAAGATATACATAGTTTCTGTTCAGAGAAAGAAAAATAAGTATATAACCCATCGACTAACGTTTGATGGGAAAGATGTCCTAATTGATCATTCACTACTATTCTAATTTATAATAAAAAATTTTCTTTGTATTGTTCTAGATTAATCAAGAATATCTCTGCTTTTCTATTTTTTTGATATTTTCAGATTCAAAGTTAATTCATTATTTTTTATATTTAATTTTACATACAAGTGTCTGTTGGCTAAAATGGTTAGTATTCGACACATTTGTTTCGTTTTATTTATCTTATAAACATTGTAACAACTAACTCTATTACAAAATATCTGATTGGAAGATTTTTCCTATCTATAAATTATTATTGTATATTTTATTTAGGATCTGGTTACTGTTCATCAAGGGTATGCTGTTAGTACCGGTGGTTGGTGGAGATTTTGGCTTACACTTTCACCAAAACCCGAAGATAATGATTTTAATTTTAATAAGGAAATATTTCGAGTGTATCGAACAGCACAACCAAATACGGTTCCAATATATGCTTTCCATTCTGAAGCAAATGGTCTCAAACATAACGTACTTCAACAGTCGCCAAATAATGACGAATCTGGTCCTAATTTTACTGATGATGGAATTATGTGTTATGCATTTAGTGGTCCAGATGATGCACCAGGTTTAATTCCAATATACCAATTTTGGGCAGAAGCATCTTATTATAATGACATACCTGGCCGACGATATTTGCTTAGTCCTGATAAAGAACCAGAAGAAGGTGCTGGATGGGAATTTGATAAAGTAGCTTTTTATGCTTTTTCACTAGCTGAGTGAAATATTAGATTAGAATATACAAATAATAATTCAAGACTTACATTATTTTAACATACTTTATTCATTTTTTATAATTATACAAAACTTAGTTTTCATCATTGTAACAGAAAATAAATAGAAAACAAATCAACTTATATAACTAAGATATAAACCAATTTGCTAAGTTCAACGTTTGCTTTTCAGCAATCGATAGATGTCAAAATATAACTATTAAAATTGAATGTGTTGTTGTTGAAATATATATATAATTAAATAAACGCAGAGTTTATCTTTGCCGACGCGTTTCATGTTACTTATTTAAAAATAATAGAACACTCTTCAGGGCTCTGCATAAAGATATAGTATAATATATAGAAAAATAGTAACAACACATGAAAAAGATAAGTAGAAAGTAAACTAGTTATAAAGTAGAAGAAGAAGTAAAACAAATAAATCAAAAATAACGAGTAAACGAAAAAAGTAAATAATAATTATAATAAAACGATATTATATTTTATTTTAAGAAAGAATAAGTGTAACGGAATTTAGTTAATATTAAATAGTTAATACGAGTTATGCGAGAGAAATAGTTTAATATATTCGGACACCACCGAGTGTGGGTGTGGGTGTGGGTTTGGATAGAAATGAAACACCCACATCCAAATTTAAAATCGTTGGAAGAGAAAAGTGCTCTGACGGAGTAGTTAAAGAAAGATTGAATTTTAATGGGTTTTTATCATGTTTATCCAAAAAGTATTGAGAATATTATATTTTACTTTAGAAAAGAAATTTTTAACTTGTTTTGTTTTTTGCTGTGCAACAGAATAATTTATTTGCATAATAAAAAGCATTTGATGGCAACGAAACACTGAAATGTATATGGTGGTGACAAAGCAAACATGAAAAAAAAACCCATAAATTTGCGCATAAGAGAAATGAAAAGACGAAAAATAACATGCCTGAACGATTACACGTCGTAGTTTAGTAATTCAGAAAGAGAAGAAAGAACGCAACAATTTCAATGTTCCATAGAAGCAAATGTATCGAACAGAAATAATTTTAAAAGCGACATACATCTCGAAATTACTCTTTCTTACTGAGGGTATTTAAGAAAGCATCATAATGTGCACGTATCATGAACAGTAGCATATTTTGTTTAATGCTTGCTATACATGAATTTCATTACAGGGTATGTATGAGTTGGATGTGCATCAAGTTTGGTTGTTGGATCAAACTGGATTTGATTGAAACCAAATTTAGTGCATATCTAGTAAGAATCTTAGTGCAGAATGTTTTCAATAACTACGCTCTCACCTTCATATCCTCAAGATACTATTTTCGATGTAATATAATTATTGAGCATCGAGATGCTCTGAGTGTTACAAAACTATTTAGATAGATTTAAACCAGGTGCCCATAATCAATTATTTCACGTTCCATAACTTCATTGTGTGAGTCTATGTAGAAAAATCGTACGTCTAAAATCATACAAATCTGTGCTGATGAGTAAGGGTAGTAGCAAGAAGCTTTTTGATCGCAAATTCGTCTGCCCAGATGAAGATCCGACCGTGTCCGTCAATAAGCAATATGTATGTAGTTTATACCGTCTTATAAATCTGTTTTCTTGTAGAATAATAGTTCCAAAATGTGAGAAAGCGAATATATTATTTCTGAAGAATAACTATATAGTTTACGATCCAATGAAACATATATGCACGAAAACCATTTACTCGTACATAAAGATTGCAAATTTTCGACATGAGTACCCCTCAAAACCCACCAAAACTTTGTATCCATTAAAATCAGCTCTCTTCATTCTACATTTTAT